TGTGGTAGCTTTATATTTAACTTTTTGGGAAACTGCCAAACAGTTTTCCAAATTGGCCGTATCCTTTTACTTTCCTGCCACCAATGTATGAGGGTTCCTGTTTCTCTACATCTTAACAGCCCTTGTTGTTGTCTGTCTTATAAATTATAGACATTCTAGGCTGTGTGAAATGGTATTTTGTTGTTGTTTTAATTTGCATTTTCCTAATGACTAATGGTGTTGAGCATATGTTTGTGTGCCCAAGACATAAATTCTAAAGGCTCTGTTTGGATAATGTATTCACTCCAATGCAGAACGTAAGAAGATAAGTGGAATTTCTAGGAAGGATAATAGAGTTGTTGTGAGGTGTCCACGTAATTCTGAGTTGCAGATGTCTAGAAGGCAGAGAGAAACTCGCGTATAGGACTCAGAAGAGAATTTATGACAGGACGTGTAGATTTGGGCTCAGCTCCGCAGAAAGGGCAGTTGAAATCATGCAACTAGATGAGTTCACCAACAGAGAAAATGCAGAGCAAGACACTGGAGGAGAGAATATTTAGGAACATTTGTTTAAAAAAATAAAGAATTGTATACTAGTGAGGGAGAGAGAGCTTTAGGAGACAAAGAGGAGACTGGTGTCGTGAGTGCCATTGGAATAAAACGTTTTTATTTTGCTAATAATATTTCATTGTACTGCTTTGTAGAGTTTTTCTTCACACATGAATTAATAATTTTAGCAACATTAGATCATACCGTAAATGTTTTATAAAATTCTATTTCTACTCAATCTTATGTCATGAACATTTTTCCATGTCACTAAATAGTCTTAAAATAATTTTTTTAATGACGGCTTTTGAGTATTTTATCGTAAATAGGTATCATAATTAATTTACTCTATTTTGGATCTTTAAGTTGGTTTATTGTTTGTGGTTTTTTTAATAACACTGCAATAAACATTCCAGTATGGAAATATTTGTGTGGCTCTCCAATGATTTCCCCAGTACAAATTCTTAGAAATCAGAGTTTCTTGGTCAAAGCATATGAAAAAATGCTTTTATATATAATTCATAATTAAATATTATCTCTTTAGATACATTGCCAAATTGCCTCCCAGAAAAACTTTTCTCTCCCAGCAGTGTACGAGCCAAATGTATTGAACAGGAACAAAAAAATCTCATAAGCCTAGGGAAAATTGATGTCATTATTATTTTAGAGGATGTGTTTCCAAGATTTCTATGAGCACCTATTGATGGGAACTTCCTGGGAGCATTTTGATATTTTTTTAATTTTTAAAAATATTGTATTTTTTAAAATAAAAGTTGTATATGTTTAAGGTGTACAGCATGGTAATTTCATATACATATACATAGTGAAATGATTACTACAATCAGATTTTTAAGGAACAAGGAAAGGACAACAGTAGCAAATACCTCACAACAGCAGAGGAAGTTGAAGATTATTAACTTTGATGACTATGTATCCATTGGTGGAATCTGAGAGAGTAATTTCCCTTGAGAGGAGGAGATAGACACCAAATTGTAGTTCTCAAGTCCAAAATTTTATCAATATTTTTCTTTTCCTTTGTCCATTTATTTTGCTTCCTTCGAATGCCTTGTAGTTTTGAAAAAAATTATTATACAGCGAAAAAAGTTTTAAAAATTCAATTTAATTTTCTATTTTATCAGGAATGTCAATTTTTCACCACCGCTCTTTTTCTCCATTTCTCCTTTATTCATTCTCCCTCATTCATTTCCTGTTTCAGAGCTTGGACTGAAGTTCTCAGATAAACAACTTCGTAAATGTTGCTACAGAGAGAAATCAGGGATGGGAAGTTATTTGTATAAAGAAAGAATAAGCCTTTGGGATTCAGTGTGTGGACTTCCATAAACATCAAACTTGATTTGTGTTTTTGCCTGTGGTGGGAATAGCATTTAATGTTACTGTTTGAGTCATTGGATGGATGTCTCTTGAGCTCATTAATGTTCCTCATTCAGAGAACCCTTTATGGACATCTCCTCCATAACTTTATTACCATTCGTGGGAAAATATTTGACCCAAATACTTTTTGCTCCCGTGTGACATGGATCATAATTCTATCACAGTGAGCTGTTCCCTTTCTCAACCACAGAGATATACAATCCAGTCGTTCCAAATAAACTTAAATCCTGTTGTTTCTTTTATAGACACAAACTTTAGCATGAAATTCTTCTGTTTCTTTCCCCTTCTTTTTGATTCCCAATTTGAGAACTATCTTCCCCAAGCCCATATTTAACAAGGTATCTGGTCCTAAAACTGGTCATCTGGGAAAATTCAGAATGTTCGGAATTCTGGAAAAGAACTTCTCTAATTCTCTCTGGATGATGCATTTTTAGTATCATCAAGGAAGCCACATGGATGACTGAGTGGATGGACTCATTTATAATATCCGTAGATTTGGGTGACTCAAATGAAAACTCTTCATGTTCTTGCTGCTTGGTGTCCTTCTGTTATTTTGGCATAACAAAATCCAGACGCAGTAACTTCTGAGAAGTTGTAAGGTCAAATCTATCTCATAACATTTTCTCCAAGTTTTGATAGGTCTCCGTTACCTCTCCCTGGAAAGAGGAACTCAAAGTTCCCTAAATGTTTCTTTACAGGTATCTCAGCTGCCTCTTGGTATGTTTCTGGCAGAATAATGATCTAAAAGTCTCATGCTTCTGGGGGAAGTTTCAGGATAAAGGTAATATCCTAGCAAGTATAATTTCTAGTGATATTCTGAGTCTTTCATCAAAGAAACACTATCCCAAGACATAAAGTTTATCTTTTGAGCACTCATAAGAATTTTATTATCTTTCAAAGCCAAGTTATTTTTAAAAATGAGCCAGAAATGTTTGGTGAGAGGTGTTCTTCCAAATAGATCTTAGTGGAACACATTCCGACGTTAAATGAATTCATAATCTAGTGTAACTCTGGAGAGAACCTAACTGATACTTATAGTGTAGTTTAGCTAGAGTTCTGTGAAGGCTTGTGTTACCGACACAAAGGTACTTTAGATAAAATAAATGAGAGTTTAAAACCATTGTGGGGTTTAACAATTCCTCCAATATAGAAACAATAAGAAATTAGCTAAAGACTATGTCAGTCAAAACAGGAAAACCCAATTGAAGTGGCCTATTTCTGATAGAATATATTTAGAATCAGAAAAATGATAATTGGAAATAAAATAGTTCTTCTTAGTTTAGAATATTTTAAAATTTGATCACTGTAAGAAAGAGCACAGATGTGGTTCTCCTAGTTTAAAAGGAGAGGGTTTACTGTTTGGGTTAGACAGTTCAATTATGTTATTTTTGTATTAATTCCCTGACATAATATCTGAACATATAGTTAATTTGGATGTCGTAAAAATGGATGGGACAAGAAGATAAAAGTCATCACACTCCCTTATGTAATAGAAGTAGAAACACTACGAAGTTGTTCCACACCAATTTTTTTTACTGCACAGTTAATGTAAAAAATAAATCTCTAAAAACAATTTGAAAAATATATACTATGCAAATTTATTTGGCACAAGAAACTTATGAAAACCATGATTTGTAAAACAAGTAAAAACTGTACTATTGAAATAATAAATATTATCTATAAATGTATGTGAGAATAATTTATGCGGTCAATTAAATATATCTAAAACATACTGTAATGATCATTTTCTTATTTAAAATATGAATTATTATCAATATACCAAGTAGATTAAAAAGTACTTTTTTTTTAAATCCAAAAATGGTATCACTAACATCAGATGTAGGTTTTTGCGTTGATTTTTCATTTGTGGTACTAAATTTTGTAGTGATTTTTAATCAAGACCTTTTGTGATCAGTGTTAGGCATTTTCACAATGGGTGGCCAGACTTTCACTCCAATGTACAACATAATGTTTCTTTTTTTTACTGTTATAGTGACTATGTAAGCTTAAACTCAAGATCATAGCACTATCATACTTCACTTAATCAATGGACCTAGATTGTTCCATTATGACATGTTTATGGTTTTATTAAGTGAAAATTGAACACTTATGCACCCTACCTGTTACCGTGGAAGCAGAAATTCTTTTCTGCATTTTTCTTTGTCATCTTTAATCCCAATATGACAACATAGGATATTTTGATTTATTGGCTTGTATACTCATCTATATCAACAAATATAGCTCTTGGCCTGAATTACCTATTACTTCTTTTCTCTTATTATTTCTGTAGCCACTAACCAAACAGATCACTGCATTAAGAGTCCGAGCCCCCTGGGAACCTTGCCCTCTTCAGATCTAGGCCACACAGAAGCATTAGCATGATGTTCTTCTAACACTGTTATAATGCTTTTTCTCCTCTATTTGAGAACAGTTGGTAACTTTCTATTGCTTGTTATATTAAATATAAACCTTTTATCCTAAGAGTTAACATTCTCCCTTCGTCTGACCCTTTCTCTTTTAGCAATCTCATTTCTTCTTGCTCTGGCACAGTCTCTCTGTTACTTCCAAGCCATCTGGTTGTTATTAGCACATAGAATTTGCTTCTAACTGCTTCCCTGCCTGGCAGATGTCTCTCCCTGAATCCCTGGGAGCCCACCGCTTCCTGAGGCAGTCAGTTCCATCTCTGCATGGATCAGTAGGAGGTTTTTCCCTTTGTTGACCTGAAATCAGGTCAGATAGTGTAGTATAAGGAGATAGGATATAGTATAAGATTTTTACTTTTATCTTTGTGAATATGTCAGTCTAAGAAGGTCTTCTTTCTTAGCTGTTTTGCATGTGTGTTTTGTGTACAGTGGCAGTTTTTATAAGCTGTGGGGAAGCATCTCTACATCTGGCACTGTCATATTTCCATACCCTGATCTACTCTCCAATACCCCAGAACCACAAGAGTGTGAGCTCTGATTTTGCGTCTAGTACATATTTAATACATATTTGAAGACTAAGCTACATTCTAAATAGGAAATTATTTATATGTGAAAGTGTATATACTTCAATATACATCGCAAAGGACAACAAAACTTCAGTCTCAGAAATGATTGTGTGAATTTTAATTGTAACAGATAGAATGCAAGCCTGATCACATGCATACTCACCCCCCAAACACAGCAAAATGCCTAAAAATGTTTAACAAGAAAACTTTACATTTTTATGTTTATCTATAATTGGTTAACTGAGACAATGTTACATGTTGTATATCTATCAAGACTTAGAATGGCTTGGTTTTCTAAATACGTAATGCACTGTTATTTTCTAGATCATAGAGCCATTGGCATATTCAGTTCCGCATATGCAGTTTCAAACAATGCAGGAAAAATATTGACAGTTTTGCCTAAGTTTTATAATGTGAACATGAGAAAATATCTTGGCATTGTTAATATAAAAATAACAATTATATCTTTCAAATAGCCTAAGTAGCCTGACCTTTTATGAGTACCTCTAAATTGTTAGTACCTCCAAATGTCCTTGAATTTTAAGCTATTTCAAAAATTGTGTTTCCATAACAATTTTAATTGAATCTCCTGTGATGCTATTTTACTCACTGTAATCAGCCACAGCATATAATTAGATTTCAATCAGAACCTTTAATGCTAAGCAGTAATCTGAGGGTAGACACTTATAAAAATATTAAGTCCATGCGGATTTCTTCTCCTGACCTCCCTCTACCCACCCAAACGACACTATGACAAGGATCATAATTGACTATGGAGAGCAGAGGTTGTTTTCCGTTTGTCCCACATAAAGTGGGAAATATTGTCGTGGGGCAGCTAGGTAGGGTCATTATCAGTCGATGTCTGGTAGAAAGAGGAGCATACGGTGATAGAATTTTCACTAAGGTTGTTACTTCTCTTGTGACCAATAAACTCTGACTTATTTGTAAAATGGCTGCTTAGGATTGGGAATGCACTTCCGGGTCACGCAGGAGGTTGAAGCTCTAGGACGTGGTTGGCATGGGGTGAGGTGCGAGGCACACGTGTGGAGGAACAATGGAGAGGGGTCTTCTGTAGTTCACATTGCTCTCTTGCACTGCTTTGCAGGAATTATCAGCAGTGAATTATTCTTTTTCAGTTCTCATTATTACTAGATTTCTTTAAAGCCCACTTTTTTGTCTTCCCATTAATCATCTATGTAATTTTAGAAGGCAAAATGTATGAGGCTTAGAGCTAATTATGCAATCCATTATGCCTTTAGATATCTGGATGAAAGTCATGTTCAACACTCTATCCCTTTCCTAAAACTCATTTCCACAAGTGATGATTTAATGATCTATTTACTTTAAAGGCTTGCCTTTGGGGGCAATGATAATCTTGGTTAGCTCATTTGAAAGAGTAGAATTTTCTTTCATGGAATCTAAGTATTTAGAAAATAGCATCAGTATTGTGGGCTTTGAAAATACATTTAATACAAAATGTGTTGAAACCTATGTTTTGGCTATCCCTAGGTAGAAAGGGCCCCTTACACCTACGCAGAGAATGAGAGCCATAGTGTCCCCAATCCTCAAATTCCATGGATTAAACACTGGAACCAACCAGCTGTGGAAGCAGTACGGACAAGGGCAAACTGCAGTTTTGTTTTTCAACTCCAAAGTCAGTATGTGTGAACAATAAAAGAGTGATAAAATGACAGAATTCTTAAATGTGATGATTGCTAATCGGTTTTCCCCGATCAGTTTTGTTTACCATCATAGCCGATCTATCATGTTGTGTGTAATTAGCTAGCTAAGGCAAACATGAGTCTCCTGCAGGCCTTTCGATTTGATCTCTTAATTTCCTTTTTACTGTGCAGTTTTGAAATACATCAATCTTTGGTAATAACATCCATGACTTCTAGGTGTAAGTCATATACTTGATGACAATAGATATTTTCCTAAGTATCTAACAGCAGAGTGCAGTATTTTGCAAGGAGCAGTGCCTTTGTGATTTAGTATATATTCGTTTCTGTTAGATTGTGCTTTTTTTGAGTTCTTATAATACAGTTCAACCGGAAAGTGTGCAAAAACTCTTCTTCTATAAATACTACCTTAAAATTTTCTAAAGCTTAAGTCAGAAATACTACTTCAACAGCGTTCTGGATTTAATGAGCACAAAAGCAAGGTGGATATCAGGCGGGGAAGGACTGTCTTGTTCTAGATGTCAGTGTCTACCCCGGAACCACATTTGCGGCAGAAGATTTCCTGGTTTTGGGTCAGGAAGCCTTCCCCGACCAAAGAGACTGAACACTTCCTGCAGTTAAAGCATTCGCTGTGCCACTGGCGGTCTTGAAAGCAGATAAACTTGGCACCTCTGAGACCTGTAAAGGAATTGGAGAAAAAGAATAATCTATTCTTTCAGTGAATGATCGAGCATTCTATCAGTTACTCTTGTGGGAACTGGAGATAAAGCAATGAGCAAGACAATGTAGAGGCAAGTAACCTAAAAAAGAATGCTGCCCTCAGTGGCCCTGTGTCCACCTGAGAATGTCATGAATAGGCAAGTTACTCCTACGGGACCCAGCCAGATTCCCGTCCAAATTGTTTCATAATCTACACAAGTAGGTAGAATCTGGATATACAAAGCATACATTTTTGCAAACAGATAAAGATTATCTAGACTGCTAAGGAAATACAATGTAGTGCCCTGGGGAAAAAAAATGTAGTGCAATGTAGTGTAGGTTGTGAAATCAGAGATATCTGGGTATGAATATCTTTCCTCTTTCTCTCTTCATGATCTGTTTTCTTAGCTGCAAAATTAAGATAAAATAAAATAAATGTATATTTCCTAGCCTGTCTGATGTTTTTATGACTTCAGTTTCTCTTCTTTTCCCTCTTTTTCTGTGTTTACTTTTGCTTAGGATAGGGTCCCATGGTCATATTGTAGTTTGGGACACAATTTCCAAAGCCTCAAATAGAGAATTTCATCCAGACTGTAGCCTAATGTAATGACCTTATTACCTTGCCCAGAAATAACTTCAGCCTAGGCGTGAAACAAAGACCTGTGAATCTGATCACTCCGGCCATGGAGGCCATGCTACCCAATGATTGGTTTCTAAGAAGTGCCTGGTCAGCCCCACCACTTTAACTTGGACCTCACTTGAGCCATAAGGTTTCTAAGAAAGGTAGTAAAATTTGAGTCTTCAGTAAAATTCTGTCTCTCTATCCCTAATATGAATCCAGGGCACAGTTCAAGGAATTGATTTTGAGGATTTGTAGAAAAGGAGAAAAGTTTTGGGCATTTGGAAGTGGTTGAGATGCCTTAGGCTTGGGTCTTTATCTATTTTCCAAGATTTCTTAAGTGATCTTGGTGCTATGAACTTCCTGTGATTTTCTTATCACCCATAGAGTGAAGCTAAAATAGTTCATGTGTGGCACGTGTGTGGTACATGTGTGGAGACAAGTAATTTCCAAATATTCCATTGGGGATGGTGAAGCAAAAAGTGTGAATAAGCATTCTATTTCAGATAAACTCTCCTAAAATATGATAATGAACTTTTGTTTCCATCCTAGAAATGTTATTTGATGTCTTTACATATAATTTACTAGTTCATAGATAAATTTACATCAAATTCCTCTACTTCCCTTGATTAAATTTATAGTTTGCTTATTTATGAGGCTATCATTACTTGCTAATAAGAGTAAATCAATAATGTACCAATTAATTCCCTTAATGTTATTCAAAACATTAATAAGCTGACTGCAAGAATAATGTTCTATATATACATAAATCATCTCTGCTCATAAAGCTAATTATTATACATCCAGCGCTTTTATGCTCATGAGTTTTTCTTGATGTTATTAGTAAGCCTTGTACAAGCTGCAAATGCAAAAGTAATTCTTCTAGAATTTTACAAAGAAGAAAAAAATAGATGCATCTGGCAGCAGGAATTTAAAAAAGGCCTGACCCAACACAAGAGATGTTTGTAAGTTGTTCCGATTTTGGAACAACTGGATATGTTTACTCCCTTTGGGCATGAGGGTCACTTACAGTTAGAAAGTCATCTTGAAAACAGGTGTCTGGTGCCTGTGTTATCTGGCTTCACTTATTCCTGGAGAATCAGTAGAATGAGAGCTAGCGTTTGTTGAGAATTGAAGATGAACCAGTCACAATTCTAAGTCCTTTACATGTGTTACTTCATAGAGCTCTCACCTCACCTTTCTATGGTCAACATTATCATCAACTCTACTTGGCAGACAAAAACTGAGAAACAGGTTCAATAACGTGCCCAAGGCCAACCAGCTGGTAGGTGGCAGATCTGAGATTCAATCCCAGGCCATGAGGCTTCAGAGCCTATTCTCTTAACTTCACCAAATCAAGTTTTAACTTATCTTTTGTAAAGAACACAACCAGGATCAATAGCATCCCTTTCTGAAGAAACCATAACATTTGAAACTTCTTTTCCTCAAAATAAACAAAAATGGAAGAAAGCTAAGATAAGGACCTGTTCAACACCTCATTTTACAGACAAGGCAAATGAGTACCTCAGAGGTGACTTATTTACCCACGGCCACACAGTAGCCAGGAGCAGAGGAAGACCAAGATCTGTTACTTGCTGGTCCAGAGCAGTTCCCACTACATCAAGCTACTTCATTTATCCCAGAAAATCTGAAAGGCTAATCCTATTTTTAGGAGAGAAAAAAATTGTAGTGATACCTTGAGTTTGTTCAATGAATCAATTTCATTGTGATGGGATTTAAAAAAAATTATACCTGGTGACTTATAAATAGATTTAGTTAATGTAAAATAGTATTTTGAAAACATTCTACACAGTTTCTCAGGATGACGTATTGTTTGCACGAATGCCCGACTTTCAGAAGATAAATATATGGCAGTAGAAGAATTCCCTATGGTCCTTTAGTTCAAACAGCTCAATTTTAAAGCAGCACAACAGCAGGACCTATATATATTAAAGAATTGGAGCAAAAAATATTAAGTGAGTTGGAAGTCTTTGCAGGCATTTTAGTCTCTGATGTGTCTCCATCACAGAGCCAAAAGAAGATTAAGATAATTATCAAAAGACTGATTATTCTAAATTAAATATGTAATTCTGCATTTGGATTACTTTTGGGTCAAATCTTCGGTTCCTGATCATCCTTATGTTACATGCAGAACAATGTGATTTTTCTGTTAAACTTAAAGCTGGGCTCAGTGATTGACCTGTAATAACCCATCAGGAAAAATCACTGAGACACATGAATCTGTGATGGATCAGAATAGAAACTCATCAATTTCAGGACTCATGTAGGCTCTTTCCTGATCAATATTAACAGGAAAGTTTTCAAATCATTTTGAGTTGTTTAATGTTCTCATTTCCTCATGGAAGCCCCCCTTTTTTTCTCCTGGTCAATTTAAGAAAATTGTAGAGTAAATTGACTGAATCCATTGGGATCTGATTGTAGATTCCGCTAAGGAGATTTTGAAGCTCCAGTTACTGTTGTATTTCTGGAAGTCCCATTTTCTAACTGAAATCAGGGGAGACGATGGCTTATTCTCTTGACTGCAGGAGTTGCCAGATGTGTAGAAGGCAGGAGAGTAGAGAGTGGTTAAGAGTACAAGTTTGGAGCCCGACAGTATGGGATTGCCAATGCAAGTCCTTGAGAGGGGTGGGGAGGTGAGATAGCAGAGTGTTGGAGACAAGATGCGATGAACAGAGAAGGCATGCCCCACACAATGGTACAGTCTCTCAGCTCCATATGACAGTGACCCTGCCGGGGAATGTGAGGGCAGTCTACTCATCCCTGGTAGGCTCCTCACTTAATTTGGCTGCAGAGATGAATTTTACCTTAGTTGTTTCAAACACATGTAGGCCAAACCAAACATGCCTGCTGGCCAGAGGCAGCCTGTGGGCCTGCGTGAGATTCTGAAAAACGTGGTGCCCTGTTTAGACAAACAGCATCGTACTCTGCTTATCCAGGTAACTCTCTCCCTCCTTTGTAAGTCAGTAAAAGTCTGCCAACCTGGGTTTGCAGTGAAACTTCTTTCTTTGAAGACGCGTGAAGAGTCAACTTTTATTTTGTGATATATTTGAAGATAGAAGAGGAGGAAAGGGATAAAATAATCTTTAATTCTATGTTACATAAACTGAACTAAAAAAATAAACTATCACCTAGGAGTACTAGCAATGAGGAGTAGAAGTACAGTTCTGCCACATTACTCAGCAAATTATAAATTGCCTAAACGAATAGCTGCTGGGTTTTTCAGGTGTCGTTTTAGCTTCAATTCTTTTACTGCAGCATTAGCATTTTAGGAGTGTCTCTGAGAAAAATGTAATGCGTTTTTTTACCTTCAAAATCTATTTAACATGGATCAATTTACCATTTATGCTATTTTCAAATCATGTCACATGTATTTTGTTTCTTTAGCAGGTTGCTATCTTGTTTCATTTCATCTATTCATAATTAACACTTGTTGCAAGTGAATAGAAAGGAAAGAGAATAATACATTTGTTAGAAGGATTTTAAAATGAAGTTTAATTAATTCCTGACCTATGCTACGCTAATTAATAGGGCTTCAAATTTTTGTACAATACTTGCATTTAATTTGAACTTTTTCTGTTAAGGTCCCTTTGCCCTTGTTTGGAATGAAGCAGGATTTTGATTTATGAGTATCCCGTCCTCCCACTCACGTCCTTGAAGATCTGGCTCAGATCAGGCCTCCTCATGAAGGTGTTCTTTGACCTCTCGGCTCCTCTTGTCTCCTCCTTCGCTGAACCAGTACTTCACTTAGAGTTAGTACCATTAGGTTCAGCATTAACTCCCTCTACACAGCATAGCTACCCTCATTATACTTTATATTTGCCTTGAGGAGTCAGTATAATCTTTGTATTTGTATATAGGTACCTATGTGTACTTAAAGGAAACATAAGGGAAAGAGTATCTATCTTCTACTTGCATTTCCTAAATTAATCCATAGCTCTAACTGTCTCATGGTAGGACCATATTAAACCAAAGAACTCACCAGTAATGGGTTTGCTGCAGGCTGCACACTTTTTGGCATAATGGTGGTTGTAGCAGTCCAGGCAGAAAGGATAATCATCTCTGGACATAAACTCTTCTTCACAGAGCTCTTTCCTACAGCCACTACACAGAAAACACTCTTTATGCCATGGCTGGTTCCGAAATGTTATCCCACCTGAAGTTATCACCTGCCAAGGGATCATAAAAAAGACAATGACCATGGGAGCTATTACAAGTCAAACTTTATGTGATTCTCCTCTATGTCTACAAGTGTTGCTGTGGGCTGATCTGTCACCCTGTGTCAGGATGACCTTTCCCTGTGATTTTTTGAATCAGTATGAGAAGCAAAAGGCTGTAGGGGTTAAATAGAACTGGTAAGAAATATCCTAATTTTTCTCTTGCAATGGAACAGAAAAGAAAGACGGCCATAATGGACTCAGGAAGATGAACAAAGAAGTAGGCTCTTGATTCCTTTGCTCATCTTGCTCTGACTTTCTTGTTGATCTCTGAAGATCTGCCGTTAGAGCTAAGATATTTTCTATAGTATGTACTTATTCCCATGTCCAACTTTTAGGGATGCTGAAAAAAGCTACTTTTTTCCTGAAAGCTTTATTTTGGGTTCAAGAATATCCAGCAGTAGTAACCTTGAATGGAATTGACAAGCACCATCATCTGCTAATAATGAATAACTTTCCTTAAGTGTTTTCTCAGCCCTCAGCCCTGTGCTAAGGGTTGCCCTCTTCTTAATATTCTCATTACCCCCACACAGCAGAGACTATTATCTTCCGCCTTTAGAGATGAACAACTACTCAGGGTTAGAGTGGTTAAGTCACCTGCCAAGGTCACATAGACCTAACATTCAAACCTGCACAATCTGACTCCATAGCTTAACCATTAACACAATACTGAGGCAAGATTACTTTGCATTGACAAGCAGTTGGTAAGCCCTTGTTGAATGCATGAATAAACCAAGAGAAAGAAATGTTTGGAAAGCAGTTTCAATGCTGCATCCAGCACAAATTGGGTGCTGTGGGCAATTTCATGAGTTTTCAGCTTAAGGACTCAAAGTAGTGAATGCTGGTTGTACATTGAACCTTAACATGTGACATACTAGGGTTTTGTCAGAGATACTTATTATTCCTCCATAAGATAATTTTTTCCCTAAATCAGTTTAATCCATGGATTCTAATTTTTTAAAAGATTTTTTATTGATGCATAATTGACATATAATTTTATATTGGTTTCAGATGTACAACATAATGATTCGATGTTTGTATATATTGTGAAATAATCCCCACGATAAGTCTGTTTACCATCTGTCACCATACAAAGTTAACTTTAGGATTCGCTCTCTTGGTAACTTTCAAGTACTTTCTACGATGTTATTGACTATAGTCACCACTCTGTACATGACATCCCCATGACTTATTTATTTTATAACTGGAAGTTTGTACCTCTTGACCTCCTTCCCGTTTCACCCACTCCTTAACCCCCCTCCCCTCTGGCAACCACGATTCTGTTCTCTGTATCTATGATTTTTGTTTTGTTTTATTTGTTCACTTGTTTTCTTATTTAAATCTACATATAAGTGAAATCATATGGTATTTGTCCTTCTCTGACTTATTTCACATAGGATAATTCCCTCAAGGTCCATCCATGTTATCGCAAATGGCAAGATTTCATTCTTTACTATGGCTGAGTAGTATATACTGTATCTTTTTTATCCATTCATCTGTCAGTGGGCACTTAGGTTGTTTCCATATCTTGGCTATTGTAAATAATTTGAGAAACATAGGGATGCATATATCTTTTTGAGTTAGTGTTCTTGTTTTCTTTGGATAAACATCCAGAAGCGCAATTGCTGGATCATAGGGTAGTAGTATTTTTAATTTTTCGAGGAATCTCCGTACTGTTTTTCTTAGTGGCTGTACCAATTTACATTCCCACCAACAGGGCACGAGGATCCCTTTTTCTTCACATCCTCCCAACACTTCTTATTTCTTGTCTTTTTGATAACAGCCATTCTAACAGGTGTGAGGCGATATTTCATTGTGGGTTTGATTTACATTTCCATGATGACTAGTATCTTGACTATATCCATTATTGGATATATGATTTGCAAATATTTTCTCCCATTCAGTAGGTTGTCTTTTTACTTTGTTGATTTATAGATTCTACTTTTTAAAAAGTTAAAATATCTTTATTTAGAATCAGATAAATAAATACTGGACAATTTGTCTTGTTTAGCAATTGCTAAGTCATAGCCTCTTTCAAACCTGTGGTTGTTGAGCTCCTGGAGCAGCTGTGGAACCTGGAAGGTGTTCATGTAAATGTCTTATAATGACTGAAGTAATGTGATACCTGAGATAGTTCTTATCTTTGTATTCAAATTAACTAGATTTAGAAAATGTAGAGCCTATTCTAAGCTGTCTTATTGTTGACAAAGTAAACAATGTTATTTGTCTGTGAATAGGCTTTTGAAAAGATTATTCTAAAGATATTTTTAAGTCTTACAACAAATATCTTAAAAATTAAAGATATATGACAGAAAGTTATTTTTCCTAAAGGAAAAAAGTATACTGTTCTAAATAAGTAAATGGGACACAATGGTGGTATGAACTAAAGCAATTTAAAATACACCCTACTGAGTTCAAATACCTTACAGCAGGCACAGCAGAATTCAAGATCCCCTTGATTTGTTTGGACAAATGATTAACAGGAAATGCTTAAAAGATTCAAAACTTGAAAGATGTGTTCACAGCAAAGTAAAACTTGATATATACACTAAAGACTGTCTCATTAGGGAGAAGAAAGTCTGGAACATTAGAAGTAGTTTGCTTGTGATTATGCTCCTTTTGAAGAGGTCGGCAGGCTTGATGGAGTCTAATATTTGAGCTCGGTTTTTGCCACTGACTGATCCCAGAATTTAGGACAAGTTTCTTCTCTGGCTAAGTGGGGGCAATTATGATTTTGTGCTCAGTAGATGACAGCCAATGAATTGCAGAATACTCTGATTGAAACTTGAGGAATTTGAATTCAAAGCACTTGTAGTTTGAGGTTAGTTGCTTTTTGGTAGAAAATAAATTTTCGTTTCACAAAATACAATCTAGGAAAAAAGTCCTAAGAGCCTGGTTGTCAAGTAGTTTTTGCCTATTTTGTTTTGTTTTATATTTGGTCTTTGGCTTAGTTTGAAACAGATTGTTTTTCTTCAGCTTGGATCTTCTTGATCAGAAACATTTATATCTAACTTTCCCTAAAGGACTTGTGGCTTAAAAAATTAAATAAAAAATAACCTAGTATGTGATGGTCTGTCTACTACCCAATATAAACATTTCATAAATTTTTGGTGACTTCAAGTCATGTCCTAAATATAGGACAGGCTCCTATAAACTGGGAAAGGACACTGCTTTGGCCTCAGACAGGCACTACTCAGCACTGTTGTAATAGAGAAGTTCCCCGCTTGAATCTTTTGTTGTTGTTGAGGAAGACTTGCCCTGAGCTACCATCTGTTGCCAGTCTTCTTCTTCTTCTTTTTTTTTTGCTTGAGGAAGATTAGCCCTGAGCCAACATCTGTGCCAATTTCCTATATTTTGTATGTGGGTCATCGCAACAACTTGGCTGATGAGTGGTGTATGTCTGCGCCTGGGATCCAAACCTATGAACTTGGGTCACTGAAGGGAGCACACTGAACTTAACCATTAGGCCATGGAGCCAGTTCCTATTGAATCTTTATAGCATCAAAAGAAACTTTATATTTTATGCCCAATAAATGATTTTGAGATAATTCCCACAAGTCTCAGTAATATTTTAGCGTAAGTCTTTAAAAAATATAGCTTAAAAATGGCCAGCCTAGGTGCCCCTCAAAATAGTGAGATAAATCTATCCATTTTATTTCCAGTACTGTTTCTAAATGCATGTTGTTGACTCTGGCAATTCTTTGGAGCTTCATACGTTACAGGGTCATAGGGTCTGATTGTTGCTTGTAAAGTCGTTTTCTAAGTCAGTGTTTCTGGTAGACTAATGGAAGTCTCTGAGTATAAGATAGTTTTATATCATGTTACAATCAATTGTAATTTTCAGCTATCATTGTAGAGTAATTTAATAATTATAATTTAGGAGTTGATTGATGCCTTCTCAAATGCAGTACTAGTATTGTAAATATATGTAGAAAATTATTGTGTGTGTGCATGTGTGTTTCTATATTCATTTGTAGAAAGTGGTAGTGAGAATTCTAGCTGTCCAGAGACAAGTGGACAAACGGTCTTAAGAGATATGCCAAAGTAGTTCATAAATCAAAAATGTTTAGAAACCGCTATACTAATCCAATGTTTTCATGATTCAGCTTTCTCACCACAATTTATAATGTTATGTTAAACTTAGGATGCCTCACATGTCAAGGATTTCTTTGAGAATATCAATATATATTTTATGGAATACAGACAGGTTTTACAAGATTATAGAGATGAGTGACTTTTTCACATAAAAGCTTAGAGGATAAAAAAGAATTAGACAAATTTTACTTAAAAACAATGACTTTTTTCCTATTGGAAAATATGTTTTGAATGGGTATCCACGTCGAAAGGTACCACATGATACTACGGAACTGGAAGTGAAGGAAATCACTTTCAGTTCTTAGTTTTCCTTCCATCTTTGTGTCTGATGAATTTCCCTAAAGATTTGTCACTCCTTTGAGCCCATCTATCTACTCTTGAGGAAGATAAAAGCTTCAAGCCAAGAAGACATTTGCGTTGCTAGGACATAATGTGAGGAGTGAAATATCCTGTTTAAATTGGTTCCCTTAGTTACTCTGTGAGACAAATCGATATTTCTCTGAAACTAAATGGATCAAAAATTGTTTTCTAAGAAATATTTTGTATTCAAAGGGAGACGTGTTCCCTCTACCAGAAAACATGAAATCTTGTGTAAGTGCCAGTGAATGGAATTGGAATATTAAATCACTTGAACTTTTAGAGTATTAAATTCATGTTCTGGGTGGAATTTCATGGTGATAAAAATAGATGGCCATCCTCACTGTGACAGGTAGTGCTTTTGGACATGTTGGAATTCAAAACTAATATGAGTTTGTAAAGACAGATATAACATGATAGTATCAGTTCATTCCAAGTATATAGTGTGGCTAAAAAACAATGGTCTGGAAGGTTCCATAAGCTTCATTCTCTTTAGATAATTACCTTCTTACAAAAGCTGCAGTAGTGAGCAAACTCCTTCTCAAAACACGGCACACAGTAATTGCCGCTGTCATTGGAAATCAAAGGTTTTGTTCCTATTGGCTGTCGGCAATACTCACACACAAAGCACGTTTCATGCCAGGAGTGTCCCTTAAATTCCATTTTGCGGGAACCTGTACCCCAATAGTAAGAACCTGTTAGTATAAATCGAGCATAATTTTATTTTCTTTTAAAAGCAAACATAGGTCAAAATTACCTAAAAAATATATTTTAAAGTTAAGGCAATAAACCAATCATCTTTATAGAAAAATAGTGTTTTGTTAGTTTCCAGAACATTTATCTGATCAAAAAGGTAGATAGAGTTCAGCCCTGATGATGGTGAATCACTCTTTCACTGAAACACTTGTATGTAAGCTAAAATTTTGAGGTATGAAAGTCCTATAAGTGGAGAATCTGAAAGGCTGCACATGATTTAGCTAAATTGGGCCATAATAATATTACAGGGATATTAGGAATGCCCTGGGGCACCAACTCCTGAGACTAGTGTTGTGCAGTTATGGTCTCCTAGAAAATTTTTGAATCCACAATAAGAATATGAAAAAGTATCGTGTTCTTATGCTGCTGTCCATACTGCTTGAGAAGAGAAACAAAACACAGAAAAATAATGCTTGTCTAAAAGTGTAAAAATTTACACAGATCCTTGTCTTCCGTAAGAGAGAATAAAGATGACTGACCCTCCAACCAGTTTGTGTCAAGCTACAAAACAATGGTTGGCCCCATTCTCTTATGATGGATTATGCTTTCTGATGCCATTGGGTATGCCTAGGCTAGGATGTTTAACATAGTGTTAGTATTATTGGTATAGATTTTATCTTTATTCTGTGGTTCAGATTCTGAAATGTTTTTATGAGTTAGGCTCATGAAAATACACAGAACACTGTAATTTATCCATTCAAAGCAGAAAGAATAATTTTTTAATTTCTAAGATACGTTAAATGAGATCAAGAGATAGCAAGAAAGACATTCTTCTCAAAAGCAGAGTTTTGTTAGCTCCTATACTCTTCCTGTGCTTGGGCTTAATTCAAAGCATTGCCGCTTCAGGTAGAGACTGGAATTCCCTTGTGATCTTACCAGGCATGATGGTCTTCTTGCAGTGGAAGCACTTGGAGGAGCACTCATTAGAATAGCACTCCGAGCACAGCAGACGCTCATTCTTGGCAGCAAAAGGCTTTTCCACCAAAGAGTGATTGCATTTGGCGCAATTGAAGCATCTTTCATGCCAGTGCAGACCTTTGTAACAAAGATCCTTTGAGATAGTAAATAAAAGTTAATTAAGTGTGTTTGTGACAAAACAGTCCATTTTATAAGATAAAACTGAACACTCCTGGGACTCTGGTGCTGGTAGGTTGTGCTGGTAGCTTGAGGGAAAGTTGTTATTGATACTATTACTCATAGAAGGGAGACTCTGGGGCAATTAAGAGCTAGAGTCTAGGGCTTTCTTGGTTGGTTGCTGAGACAGAGAGAAAAATAAATGGACTCTCTATTTCTTCAAATTGCCTCTACTTTTCTTTTATAAATTACGAGAGGTTTTTCATGGAATGACTTTTGTTTTTAGGTTGTAATATCGTATTACTGTTTGAGATTTAACTAAACAAAATCTCAACACCACCTAACTAAACAAAAGGCAAAAAAAAAAAAAAAAAAGAAAAGAAAAAGGAAAAAATACAGTAATAAGCATTTCGGGAGGAGTGGGCTGTATATGTTGAAGGTATCGGCACAGTTGGTTTAGTGGAGATCAGGTTGACTTAAAGTCAGAAAATACATCTTTTGAATCATTATGTCTCCAATTGTTTGTGTATTTATTCATTTGTACTCTTGCCATTCCATGAGTAACTCAACATTTTAGCTGTGTAACTTTGGGCAAATAAATTATCCTCTTTGACCTTTAGCGTCCTAAACTATCTCCTGAGATCATTGTGAAGATTAAAGTATATGTTACATTTCATAGTACTAAGCATTGTGTCCGGGACTTGATTGATGGAAACTTTGAAGATCTTTATTCCAGTAGCAGACAACAGTGTGTGAACAGTCAACATTAAAGGAAAAGAGGCATTCCAAAGCTTTTGTCTGCTGTTCCTATGCGATAATTCTGTGAATTGAGGTAAGACGTACCTTGCAATATGATTCAATTGGTTCTTTGCACTCCTCACAATAGTTGGAAAAGATGCGATCATAACATGAAACACAGTATGCATTATCATCCTTTAGTACATACTTTTTCCCAAGAAGTGATGCTGTGCAGTATTGACAATCAAACTGAGCAGTTGTCATTTTGGTTCAATCCTGTGAACAAGAAAATGATCCATGTATATAAAAGCAGAATGTTTTGATAAGACAAATTATAAAGCCTCAATATGAGTCAAGCACTTGAATGAATTCTTATTTTCTTAAGTGAAAAACCACCAATTTAGGCAAATATGATGTAGTCATGGTAATACTTGGAGTGATTTGGGAAAGGCTACTTTCCCCTCTTGGCAGTTCTTGTGTGTTTTGCTAACAAAATGCATCAAGCCAGGAGCCAGAGTGTGGAAAACATCTTGTATTCATCATTCACTAATCTGGATTCAATGAGAATGTGATATGTGTTGAAATAGGATGGCTTCACCTCAAGGATGTAAATATGAACTGTTGACAGGGCTTTCACTAACTGTCATCACTTACTATCTTGCTGAAGAGTTCTGAAGGCGGAGTTCCATGGAAATAACAACAGTCTTTTTTACTTTAACTGAAATAGAAATTAATATCAAGTACATTGTCATTTTCTAGGCCATTGTTTTCTTTCTCAAATCTTTATTAGGAACCTAACGAGGGTTCTGCACATTAATCCCAAGACCTTTCTGAACTATATATATATATATATATATATATATATATATATATATATATATATATATATATACTCTCCCTTGGGACATCTTCCTTATCTGTAGCTTTAACCTCCCCAAATATGCTGTTGACTCCAAAATCTCTAGTTTTAGCCTATCCGTCCATTGCCTCCTGGGCATCTCCATTTAAATGTCCCACACCAAGCTGGCCAAATAAAACTCCTCAGCAGGTAAGATTCAGTCCAAGTGCGAGGTTTTTGTGACTGCTGTTGATCAATTGCCCAGATGTAGAAATACAGTTAAAACTATCAGTGGTAGAAAAGAGCTATAGGCTAACATGTATATAGAACGAGTAATAGCAGCTACATCTTACAGAATGAAAACTGATACAAAACATAAAGTCAAGGCCAGGATAAGAATTCCAGCTATTCTGTAAATTTAGAAAAACCATTAAAGAACAAAACATATGGATTTCAAAAAGTTTAATTAGCATTGAACATGAGCTTTTCATTGTCACCAAAAGTGATACCACTGATTTTCTTGGAAAATGAGATTTGTCCTCTCTGGATTCACTGGACTATATTAGGAGCTATGAATATTTTCTCATTCTGCACCTGAGAAACTTATTTTTTTAAATTTTAGCAAAAGCAGAAAATCAATTATGATGATTCTTTTTACAACATTTTTGTTTTTTAAAGATTTTATTTTTTCCTTTTTCTCCCCAAAGCCCCCCGGTACATAGTTGTGTATTCTTCGTTGTGGGTTCCTCTAGTTGTGGCATGTGGGACGCCGCCTCAGCGTGGTCTGATGAGCAGTGCCATGTCCGTGCCCAGGATTCGAACCGACGAAACACTGGGCCGCCTGCAGCGGAGCGCGCGAACGTAACCACTCGGCCACGGGGCCAGCCCCCTTTTTACAACATTTTTAACGTTAGTTTTTATTTACTACATTCAAATTGTATTCCCACACATTTTACCTTCTTTTATTTTAAGGATAAAGTTTCCAGCAGAGTGTCTTGCTGAATATACATGGTCATTAATTCTGTGTATGGTAGTTTTGCTATGTTGTTCTTCACAAACAGGAGAGAAAAGACTGAGGATTTGGAACATGTGAATCTTTTCCCAGGAAAGATGAAAATTTAGACTAGAAAGTTCCCAATGGAACATGCCAAAATTATCTGCAAGGAACATTGAATTCCCCCATTTGATTAATTCCACAGAAATGTCCCCTCCTAGTGAATACAAACACACTCAAAAGGTTACCAAAGGTTTGGGAACAGGAAGAAAATAGATTTGAGTCACTTGAAAGGTTTTAGAATATAGCTTTATTCACATTTACAGTGATCAAGTGTTTATCTCAATGGTGAAATAAGATATATACCTTTAACTTAATATGGAAAATGATATTTTAATTGCTATCCATTTAGTTTTAGGTGTACACAGTAGTATCAGGAAGCACAGCCTCTCAGGAGTTGGGAACTCTCAGGCTACTTCTATTTTGTGAGGATTTTAGTATATTATAAAATAAATAAACAAGAAAAGGGATTACAAGATTGATAGTATTTCAAGTGTTTATTTTAAATAATACTTTAAAAGAACAACATTACAATACTTGTACCTCATTTGGTGATCAGGTCAGAAGGCTAAATATATAAAATCTAAATATCTAAATAAATATTAATTTTTTAAATATATAAATATTGATATCTAAATATATATCAATAAACATAAATATTTGTCTAAATATAAGTACCAGAAGAGATGGTCCTTCCCCATCCCCATCCTAACCACATAAGAGGCCTTGCTCCATAGAAAATTCCTAACAGGGGCCGGCCCTATGGCCGAGTGGTTAAGTTCACATGCTCTGCTTCGGCAGCCCAGGATTCAGATCCTGGGTGCCAACACGGCACTGCTCATTAGGCCATGTTGAGGTGGCGTCCCACATGCCACAACTAGAAGGGCCCACAACTAAAATATACAACTATGTACTGGGGGGATTTGGGTAGAAAAAAGCAGAGGATGGGGGAAAGAAGATTGGCAACAGTTGTTAGCTCAGGTGCCAATCTTTAAAAAAATAAAATAAGAAAATTAAAAAAAGAAAAGAAAATTCCTAACAAAATAGACCATATTTTGTTCATTTTTTTTCTTAAAGGAAAAAGTTACTTCTTATTCCATCTGTTTTTTAAAAGCAACATAAAGGAGTTGGGTAGGGTGAGAACAGTCAGTTCAATATCTCAAAACTTTGAGATTTTGTGTTTTATAGAACTACACAGTGAGAGTAGGCATTTAGGCCAGGTCAACATGTATTGACTAACTGCTCATAATATTTGAACTCCTGTCCTCAAGAAGTCTGGATTCTCTTAGCTTATCTCTTACGTTTGTATTGTGAATATAACTGAGGTAAGAGAATAAATTGAATGTTCACTTTCTCATTCTTGGTTGGAGAAAATACACTGAGAAATTGTCCTCATTTTCATGAAGTCTATCATTTAACTACAGATATAGGAATAAGCCCAACTAGAGTTTCTTAAATAGAGATATTATAACCAATTAGATGATACACATCCCCTAGAACCATATAGAAAGGGGAAGGAGGAGCTGCAGTACAGAGAGACCTTTCTAGGAAGACTTTAAGAAAGTAAAGGTGTTGTAAATCTGTTAGGAAGAAATGAAGAAGGCAGGCAGGAAGGATCAATCTTGATTTGGCAGGAAAGGATGGGGAAAAGACAAATGGGAGAACGGCAGAGGCTCTCATCTGAAGTTGGGAAATGATGAGTCCTGTGAACAGATTTTCACCTGGGAATATTCAGGATAAAGGAAGACCTTGAAACAATTTAAAACTTTTTAAAGCTATTTGAACCTTTGGTACAAGCAGTTCTAAATGGTGTGAGAGCAGGCAAAAGAGGCAAGAGTATGAATTTTTCCAATCAGATCACTTTTTGCCACCTTATTCTCTCCTAAACATCATTGTGTAATTTTTCCTCTTCTTTAACCCCAATACTAATATTTTTAAATATTCTGGGAATAACTCTGTGTTATTCCCAGAGCTGAAGAGAAGACCAAATGGCTTGTTTTTAATCATTCTGCAACAGGTAAAGCTGTAGGAAAGAGGATGAGGACTATGTGATTCTTATCTCAGAAGCCCCCATCTGAGGGTTAATTTGGCAAAGATATTGGGAAATTTTTGCTTTCAAAGATTTAAAATCCTCAAGCAAAGCTGATTCATAATTATTAGCCATAAGAAATCTTAACATTAACAACGTACCCCAAATGGATAGTATTTAACTTTTCTAGGTATGAACTCAGAAATGCTATTGTTAATATCAATTAGATATTCTTGTCAAACTTCTTTCAAAGTCATTCTACAATTATATAACAGTTTAAGCACAGCATTTGTATCATCACATACTGGGGTTTAGAAGATTGATTTAGAGGTACCCGTGAAGAACTCATGAAGAAAATAATTAGTTCAGAAATCCAATGTCATGAGTGGATTTGGCTTTGTTTTCCAGGTCCCTCCTTTAGATTTTAGATTTATACCTTAAAAGATGTGAGTTCACTGGTTATAGTTTCCATAGCTGAGAATGTCATTTCTTAGATGTTATTTTTTAAACCAGGTATAATTTTGTGTCAAGTGATATTTTATGGAGAGTTGTTGATTAGAAGGTTAATGCTGTGAGCAGTATATTCACTTAAATTTTTACCGTGCTGAGTGGAAGTAATAGAACCACAAGAAGCGTACCTGAGACAATGACAAGCAGGAGAGAGGCAAGGACTTGATGCCATGCCTGGTATCTTTAATATGCTTTTGTTTGCAAGGCATCACACATTGTTCATTTATTCATGCTTTCAATAACCATATAAGCAGTTTTTATTTGCAAAGTAATCTGCTAGAAGTTGTGACAGACATAAAAGTAGATTAGATTCAAATCCTATCCTTAGAGAATTTATAATCTAGTAGGAAGAGTAAGGACATTTTATAAATAACTAAAATAACTATAAAAGTTAGGAAATGATAAGGTGAAATGAAAGATTATAAGAATTTATAGCAGTGGTCAGTGGTTCTAAACATAGAGTGAACATTAGAATTTTAAAAATTTCCAAAGTGCATCCTTACCCCAAACCAATTAAACTGAATTCTGGAGATGGAGAATAAGAACAAATATTTTTCAGCTTCAAGTTGGTTCTAATGTCCAGCAAGGGTTGGAAAGCACCAGTTTAGAGAAGGAGGAAGGATCACTTACTTCTAGCTAGGGAAACTTCAGGGACAGCTCGGAGAAGGTGTATTTGAATGGATCATGTGGTAGATAGCACAGATTGGTTTTCTCACCCTTGGCTCTGTCCTCCTTCTAGTTGGAGAGGCCAGGTAGCTAGAAACATTTCCTGGACCCTCTTACAGCTAGTGTTCGAGGCGCAAATTTGGCTCTTCTAACTCAAAACATGTGTGTAAATTGGAAGATGGAAGTGAAATGATAGACGTGTTCCCACTGCTGTTGATGTTGGCAGGCTGGGTCATAGAGATGTGAGTGGTTTCTACCATTCAGAATGCCTGGACTCAGGTTTTCCGGAGTCCAGTGACTAGTTTTTTGGCTGTGAGAGATTGTTATAGTGGTGTTGGCGGCAGCAGCAGCAGGTTCCTGACCTCTGGATTATAGGGCAGAACAGATGTTGAGGAAGACAAAGTGCACTCTCTACAACTCTTGGAGTAATATTAAAAACACCAACAAGGATATCTAATACTCCTGTGTGCTTCCTCAGTGCTGGGTACTGTGTCAACCACTTTATGTGGATTGTCTCGTTTAATCCTCACAACAACCTCTAGGCGGGGTCTTTTATTATTATTCCAGTGATTAATATTATCCCCATGATGAAGAAACCAAAGCTTAGAGAGGCCAAGATCA